GTTTTCCAAAATTCGCAGCGGGTAGTGTACAGCATCGATTTCTGTGGAACCCAGTAGCTGTCAAAACTTTCACATTTTTACGAATAACTCGGAAACCGTAAATTTTTCAGGTAAAACGTTTGACACAAACTTAACTTAAATTTTGACGAAAAATCTGAAAATGAATAAAAAAGGGGCGGTTCCATTTAAAAAACCAAAGTTGGTAACTACCACACGTTTATGATACACCCCGTATATTGGAAAGTAATTTTAAAATGTGGACCTTTTAAACATGAAAAACTTTCGTAGGACGTATTTTCTTGTAAAGTTCATATTTACTGAGATATCGCACTTTGACGCACTAATGAGCAACCCTGTATATATAAATGAATGTATGTCTGTTTATGTCCATAAAAACTCAAAATTTAACCATGATCGCACTCAGCTACAAGGCTGACATTTATACACACTACAATCCTGACAAAATTTCAACTTCCTAACTCTTAAGTTACAATTTACATCTAGAAGAATTTACAATACAATAAACAAGTAAGTCTATGGGAAACAGCTAAAAATTGCTTCAAAACGACTCAACCTTCCAACGGCTTGGAATAAAAAATTCTGCGTTAAACTAAAATCTTCGTAATGACCTGAGAAATACATTGATACCTCAAAATAGTCTCTAACTTATGTAGTTTTTCCTAAAATTATCTTTCAACAAATTTTCAATTAAATTTATTCATTAACCCAGTAGTCTCAATGTAAAATGCGTTAGCTAGCAGATCTTATGAACTACCAGATACATCGAACGTTATTTCATTTTTTATTCCAAAAGCGTGTGCTACTGACTGTTTTCGAAAAAATTGCACACGTAACTACAAGCCAACGTGGGCAACGCCAAATAGTCGCTACGCTAGTGCTCGTATTATATAATTACAAGACTTTCGTAAGATTAACGACTAGAACGAGTATTGGAATATCGGATCTGAAGTAACGAGTATTGGATCCGAAAATAACTAGTGTCGTTACGAGTATTTAAAAGTAAGCGAATATCGCACCACTAGTCTAGACAGTAAATATATTATTCGAATACTCCTGCGTTTTGCTAAAAAATGATAATTTCTTTCACTTGCCAGACTTCAAGTAATAGAACACGATGAGATGCCATTAAAAATGAAATTCTGCCAATCGCGATGACGTAGAGCAAACGTTGTGGGAATACAATGAGCATACCATTTAATTTCAATATTTTTGATGCGTACATATGTACTATTTCTACTAACACTTCTAGTGCATTAGATTTTTTCTTTGCCGAGAGAGATCCAGCTTTTAAAGTTTGAATTTACGAAAAGATTTACGTCTTATGAACGGCTCTCACAGACCTACATTTCAAATATAAGGTCACGTCGTTTAACTGTAGTCAGTAGTCAGTATGCTAGTTGTGATGCGTTAGTCGCAAATATTAATTGTCTTGTAATATTTTAATGGTATTTTGCCTGAAAATCTGAAAATTAACAGAACGTTGGCACAAAAATATTGAAAACACTGATTCTGAAGAATGGCAAAAAGTTGTTCTCAAGGCTTTTCCAAAGACCCGTTTACCCACTAAAACGGAAACTGGGTGAGATTATCCTCTATTTTACTCAAGGTTCGATTGCTGGAAACCGAGTACGCCACCCAGTCCAACATTCTTAAGGAGAAAGTCTCAAAACCATACCGTTTTTCACTTCCGAGTCCTTACTACCCCGAAATGCATCAGGTCAGGTAGATAGATATTCTGTTAAAATCGTACGCCACGATGCCAGATTCAATATTAGCTCCGAAAAGCCGTCTCCGCTTTGTAACTAAGCCAAGGGTAAAAATAGTATGTTCTTGATATATGCTGCTAATGTCTCAACGTGGCACCACTTACTTGGCGCCAGCCCTACCCTAAACTCATCATTTTACGATTAGGTAATTGTAGTGCTCATCAAATAGTTTCCAGATAAGAATAAGTATAAAAGCTATTGAGTAGAAGACACTGCTCTGTCCTCCCTTAGGCTCATACACTTGTGACCGTACGTACCTGCTGCAAACGCATAAGAACTACACCCTCGTGCATCACGCGTGTGACCAAAAGCAACATTTTACGTGCAATTGTGAGAACTAGTTAATTTTTTGTAAGTATTAGAACTAAGTCTTATACACGAAAAAAGCATGTCAGATTACTCAACGCAAGAGTTATTCTAAATTTATATTTCCTTTTCTTAGAAAACTGATCTGCGATTGACAACAAAATGGCTCAACTTCTGCCAGTAGAAATGTGGTGCAAAATCTTTCGCACATTAGATGGACCATCAGTATTAGCTGCATCAAGAGCTTGCCCTATGTTTCTCGATATAATCCAAGAGGATCCAATCTTGAAACACGTGCAACGAAAAGCTCTCGATCAGGAAAATCTAGAACTAAGAATGAAAATAATAACCTCGCAACTTCAAAGCCTGTCTAAGGAATGGATGTCTATCGCACTTAATCCTAAGAGGAGGCGTGCCCACATGTACCTTCTTAGGTCACTTGACCACCATTCATGATGATCTTGCATTGTGGTAATATTTATTAATCGTTTTATTTATTAGATTGATAAATTATATGTTAGTTTTCAATATCAATATATATCTTATTATAACGCAATGAAATCTGGTGTTGCAGAAAGGATGTCAGTTTCAACCCAATAAAACATATTTTAATTTATCAGCTCTTTTCAATTAGACGACAAATTGTATAAGAAACCGAAGACTATGAAAATGTTACTTCCAACATTTGTTTGGGGGATGAACAGACATTTTTCTAGAACGGTTTTGTTAATAAAAACAAACACATTGATAATAATTTATACAATTGTAGATATAGGGAGACATATCGAGATAACACGTGTTTTGAGAAAGTCAGATCCAATACCTATCTTTCTGCATATATTTCCTCCTAAACGACTGGACCGATTTTGATCAAATTTCTTATGCGTGTTCCAGAGGATTTCAGAATGGCATACAAGAATATTTCATTACCTTTGATTTTTGCATGGATTTCTGATAACATTCGAGCGGATGCAGTGTTTTTTATGCCACTACGAAATTACAGCGTATCCCTACTCTCTTGTTCATTTAATACAAGCTTATACTCATTTCCTCCATTCTTTTAGCTTTTTATGCAGATACTCAACATTCAAAAGAATGTTAGATGACATTACTACAGATGTAGTTTTTGATTGTGATGATAAATTTGTAAAATTTATAATTGATAAATGATGCTTATTTAGGTTTTGGCTTTAAACCGCTACCAAATTTAAGATAATGTTGAACACGTAAGTATCAGAGTTACTATTGCTGGTGAGCTCTAAAAACGCAAATAAATAATAAAAATACAAAGCCACCCAAATATTTCCAAAGTGTAAAAAATTCTTGTGTAGGGATCAATGGTTCAATCGGAGCCAAATCCACACTATCAGTAAGCTGATGTTATTTACATTGAATACTGAAACCCGAATTTTCATGTCCGAAGCGGTTCTTTAGCGAAAATCTTCAGATGAGCTTGATGTAGAAGTACAAAGCCGCCCAAATAATTCTTACCGGTTTTCTGCCAACCGGCGCGCCATCCTCAATTTTCTACGCATTAATCTTGTTGCTGACCCCTAAAGTTGACCTAAGATCCCATGTTCTCAGGGTATTGCCAAGATGCTTCAAATGCTTCAATCTGATAACATTCGGATTATCTATTATTTGAATCATCAATAATCACGTTTTATAGTTTTTGAATGCCAAAATTAGCTTTGAACTGCCAAAATTGTTCCCTCGTAATAAAAAGAAAGTAAAAGTTCTAATTGTAGATAAATCGAACTTTCTCATTATTCGTTACATCTAATTCATTAAAGCAAAATACATCTTTTTATTAAAATTGAAGGAGTTTTAATATACAAAATTCTGTACTGGGTCTATTTATGTAAGTTTTTATGTGTAGTAGCATTTAAAACTATTTTATTGAACTGCTAATAAGGAAAGCGAACTTTATGGTCGCCAGGTCTTTTGTGTTATAATCTACACAGTAACAGTGTATTTTATATAAGTATATATATAATATATAAATAATCTTTATGTCCTACAGAAAAAGGCTATCGAACCAATCGGTCTTTCTGGCTAGTTTTTTATTTTCGTCATTTACAAATGTTAAACATAGACGCGGTTTAAAATACCAAATGTAGATCACAAAATCAAACATTTTAATAACGCGGATAATTTTTCTTTTAGAAAACCCTGTGATGCTATTATTACTGTTAAATAATAAGATGTATTCGAAAATACTACTCTTTCGAAAATACTACATTGAAAAACTTCCCAGAAAATAAAACCTCAAATATTGTTGCCAAATTGGTGTGGACTTGATTAATAATTTCCCTAAAAACTCTTGCATCCATAATTCAAAAAGCTGCCATCGCAGGACTCACCCCTTATTAGCCAATTCATCATTTCTGCAGAAGGTAATTTATGCAATGCCGGTGAAAACATCCCCGAAAAATGATGAAATAAAATGGTGAAATATGGGTTAATAAATAAATTTGCCGTAAGACGACGCTTGTGAGGGAAGTCGTTTCGCTTTTTCTTAAATAATAATTTCCTGTCATAGTCGACGTTCTAAATTTATTACGAAAGAGTAAGGAAACAGGGAAATAATTTAAAATCACGTTGAATATCTAATAAAGGGAGACAGTTTTCATCTGAGTTTCTATATCAGTTTTAAATATCATTATAAGCATGCTTTAACACAAACTGTTGTTTCTTTACTGCCTTTGTTTTCTGTTTAATTAAAATAGTATCGAAAGAATGCCTAGATTTTCATTCGAGGTAGTGTCCATTTTTTCGCATAGAAGAAATATATGGGGTAACTGATTAACAAACCATAATCATAAAGTTTACAAGATACCCGTTAAGTATAAAGGTTTTAAAATTTTATTTTTACATATATTGTTTTTGGTCCATGCCCTAGTGCAGCGACGTCACGACGATGCAGCTCGAAAATTTTCGCGTGTTTGCAATTGGATATTTTATTTACATTTGATTTCTTGTTAGACACGTCTTGTAGCTATTTGGGTTAGTTTTGGTTAGTTTCGATCATTGCTCAACTGCTGTAGAAAAAATGCTCAACAAACACCAAAAAGAAAATTTGTAAGTAGAGTAATGACAATAAAGTTTTTGAACCTCGAATGTGAGGGAGAGGAATCTAAAATATTATCTTATTTCTAGACACGAAGATAATTGGCTTTAATTGGCTTTAATTGTTCTAACCTGAGCTACAAATAGTTTCTGAATCTGACCGCCAGCGTGTTTTTTAACATTTTACAATCCGCTTTTTTGGATGAATTCTCTTAATAATTGCATATGGTTCTCTAATGTGGGGTCACTCCTCTTGCAAAAAACTTTTAGTTGAACATACCTTCTACAACTGCTTGAAATTTTTGGACTGTGATTTTATGGTTTTGATTTTATTGTAGTTTTATCCTGTAAGCGTTAAGGTTTTGCATTTTACATAACACAATCAACGTGCGGTATTTTCATTATCCTGTGAATTCCAGCTAAACCAATAATGCTGATCTTTTAGAAATCAATCAAAATGGAAACGCTAAACATCCCTAACCCTACCTAATCCATATTCATAAAACTGGATGCCGGGAACGTGTGAATATTTACGCGAATTTTACAACCTGGGCTAACACTGATTTGCATGTGAAATGGGGCGGACCCCGGGGCTCTCGTTTCATATTCCGTTTAAACCAAATTAGTTCACAGCGATTTTTCATTTCAAAAATCGTATTACAGGTTGGAATATCATTTTAGGTAAATTGTCTACACAAAACAGAGTTTCAAATGTCCCTTGAAGTTTTTGTTCTATCGCACAATGATAGAGCGATTATCTGTTCATTTCGAGCTCTTTGGGAAATGCAAAACAATTGTAGCATTAATCGCAATAAACCCATTCTTCCAGAATATGTCTAATTTCTCAGATGAGTATTAGTTGCAGTACAAAGAATTGGAAGACTTTAAAAGAATTGTTTAAATTACAATTGTCGATTTTAAAATTCTGGAGTTCACCCTACAATCTATAAACTTCTATAATACTAATAAACTAAAATACGCATTTACGACATTTTTCATTTCTCTTGAGCTTTTTTATTTGCTAGTTTGTCATGTTTTAATTATTTGTTGTTTAATAGTTGTAATAATCATCACCAATGCAATCGGTTCGATTTTCCTCAGAACTATTTGTTACTTTCCGGCTTCAAAATGTTCATCTAATTTCCTACCTAATCACGGGGTAATTATTATTTTGTTGTGTAGTATAGAGGTGTACAAAACGGTTTTTTTATGAAACAGTTTACAACGTTCAAGTTCGACTTTGGTATTCGGTTCCGAAATTCAGTTCCAAAAGTAACATGTTCTTTTTAAATTTTTCATTAAAAATTCGCAATGATGATGATGGTAGAAATAGCGATGATAAATAATGATTTAGTTTATTTGAAAAAATAATTCTCAAAACAAAATGTGGGTCATAAGAGACTACTGACAGGAAAAAAAACTGATAATAAAATCGAATGGTTTAAATAAAATATACGCTTTGCATGCGAAAAGGTTTAAAAAGCTAATTATCATTTAGAAATTAATTAGCATTTTGGAATAATTTTTTGGGTAACTATGCTCTTTACTAAGTCTAGTTCTTCGCTCCTTACACCTCTTAAAATATAAATAAACGGTGAACGAAAAAAAACTGGGAATGAAAACTACAAACCATATCTAATTAAATTTTCGAACTCTGCCCCGTTAACTTCGTGATAGTTTCCAAGGGACGATTAAAATTTTCAATGTTTCTTATCATTTGAGCAGATATTTGTTGATGCAGCGTCCGTAATGAAACTTGCAAATTTTTCGAGCTAAACTCCGCCATGAAAAAGATTTTTTTCCTGACGTTTCGCCAGCACTAACAATAATATTTTAAACATCTCATAATGCCCTTTAATTGTGATTTTTAGCTCGTACCACAGCACTTACAACTTTAAATATTGTGAAACAGGCAAAGTAGCTGAAAATTAAACTGAAAATATAAGTTTTTTTTTATTTATTGAGAACTCCCGTAATAAGAACCGGTAATCCTTTGCAAGGAATCCGATTTTATACCTGTATGTTTTTTTGGAATTAAAACTGAAAGAATCATATATTATTTAATTGTTTTATGTACTATTTAGTTTTTTGGTTATTGAAAATTCGACTTACTAATGATCTACTACAGGATCCACAAAAAYACTATCACTTTATTTATTTGATGCTAATCCTATGTTTCCATCTCTTATCCTATGTGAAAATAAGAGTAAACKTTTCTAGAATKGATTTTTTGTTAGTAGCTTWTACTCCAATATGGCAATCAATACTTGACGGCGATAGCTACAAGTTCAGAATGTATTCCCATAGATGGCTGTTTATTGAATAATTCTYCATACTTACTTATATGATAAAAAATATTAATGGGTTGATTGTGGCTTTATCACATTATCCATTGTAGRCGATCYTAACACGTATTTACATAGTAAATTAGWAATACTTTGCTACTTGTGACTCCAATTTGGCTATTTGGGAGCGCAACGTTCCCAATTTATTTGCTGGATTCGTTTATTGTCTAAGACATTGTTATCACWTATGATATAGTGAAAATCTTAGAATGTAAGCSGTGATTCCACATTGGTGTCATTCCTGTAAAGAGGGCTTACTTGCAGAAAACACGMAGCATGCKGTAAACAGTTGTCAGTTTTATATTATAGAATTGCTTGGGAAAAAAATTCAGAAGCAAAATTTTTAACCACTGAACTTTTCTCAAGTGAGTAGGAAAATGATACATTTTATTTTTTGGTAGTAGTAGTAAACATCTTTATTTCTAAAAAATCTTGGTTATTTTTTGGTATTTAGTCCAACYTGTCAATATTGGTAATTTTGGTAATTAATGAGGAAAACACCGTTTCTGCATGCCAAACATATTTTTTGMAAATGTCTCGGTGTTAAACTTATATATTTTTTGAATTTATTTGAATATTTTTTTAATTTTGAATATTTTTTGACCTAGTACCCCAGACAACACCTCCAGAGAAATGAGGCAAATATTGAATCACCCTGTATGATAAAGTTGCTCACTTGGAGTGAAATAAGGGCAAGAATCTTCACAATGATTCTTTATTACAGTAAATCATTACAGTAAATCTTTACAGTACATATGAAAATAAAATACGTCTCAAGGAAGATTTTGTATAACATTTTTAACGTTGTTGGTTCTGGTTTATAGCCAACATTGAAGGTACAATAATTATTATCTACACGCTTTCTAGTGGTGGCTTATACATAATTTGACTGATCTTTTCCTGACCGCCCAGCGTATCATATATATACATATTAATATATCCTATCTGAATTAATATTCAATCAAATGCATTATTTGGAAAGGCTATAATTCTTTATTATTTTTTTCTCACGTAGGTACTTGCAGTTAGTTGCTGGTAGGTGCCTGCTGCGTCGGAGCCGAGTGATGATTATTTGGCTCTTACCTAGGAGATACATTATTATGTAGGTCTATATATAAGTATATGAATATATAAATAAATATTGCCAAAATATTTTTTAGACTAATATACTTCCACCCATGTTACATTATTACGAGGTCCCATAAATCCTGAAGCTAAATGACTTCAGCTATTTAGAAATAGGCTGTTATTGATTAGCTAAACAATATCAACAATTAATAACGGAAATCATTTTAATGTTGTAAAACGTACGAGCAAAAGGTGTGTTTCATAACATGCGGACGCCCACTCTAATTAGACGACATTGCCTAACATGACGTCACAATCTGAAGGTTGCCTTTATTCAACATTTGCTTCTGATTCATACCTGTATTGTCCAATACCTACCTAACACTCTCCAATGACTTTTTCTAAAGTTCACGAGCATATATTAGAAATGATGACATATTATGGATGATATGCTTAAATCGTGGGAATGCTGCTTACCTGCTTTATTTCATTATTATGGTGAATATTTTTCATTTCTGCGAAGAATTCCAAGTCACATATTTGATTTTGAAGTTATTTTTCAGTTTGTATCTCAGGTTGAGTTTCAATTTTCGTTGTCAAAATTCCAAAGTAAGTTCAATAGGATTAATGGAAATATATTCTGAGCTTTAACACAGCATTCTATTTGAACTGTTCATGGTTGAGCAAAAGCAAAGTATAAAGTGTCTCTCATTTAATAAAAGAACATTTCTTTAAAATATTGCTGATAAATGTAGGATTTTGGTCTATAACTATAGCCTATTTTCCAAAGAAAAAAATTCTCCAAACACAATGTCTACGTTTTGTCTACGTCTACGTTGCAGCAAATGGTTTTTGGAAGTTGTTTTCCACTCCAAAGAGTTCTTTACGGGGAAACGTTTCAATTTTTTTTTACATATGCTGAAGAAACTGAAAACATTCTTCCATGTACAGGCAGTGGCAAATCCCGGATTTTGATCTGGGTTATTTGATATTAATTTCTGATCGAAATTGTTCTCTAATCAGATATTTCTTAAAAACGTTTCAAATTAATTATCTGCATTCTACAGTGTTAGTCAAAAATTCCGCAACAGCCAAATATTTCAGAGAGGATTGCGTTCAATTTTTTGCAATTTTGTACACCGGAATTTTTAAATATACTTTATCCAATAATTATGTGCAGAGAAGCCAAATTTATAGTCTCCCCCCCGAATGCCCAAACTTTGGTATTTGAACATGTATGTTTTTATTTAATGTTTAAATTGCCTGCATTTTAAAAACTAAATAAAAACATATTATTTTCATTTAAGATTGATTGATTGAAGCTCTTTGAAAGATTGAAAGGAGAAAAACTATGGACTTGGCCACTTCGTCCACACAAACAAAATGTTTTCACGCAATAGTTTCTAAAATAATTATCTAAAATATATCTTACTTGCAGGTAATTTGAAACTTTTGTGGTAGTTTTTTCAGAACCAAGTTCGATTATAGTGGCCCATTTTTTCTAGATGTTAAGTAAGAAAACATTTCTTTCATAATAATTATTCTATGTATGTGCATATAAAGATACATGACAAAGGAATCAGTGAAGAAATAAATAATTATCACACTTCATACATTCTCCGGTTATTGGCAAGATCAGACAGAAATAGGATGTAAAAGATACTTGAACTGTTTTAGTAACCTTCAGCTGGTGATGCAGTGAAGGTCCATTTTACCAAAAGCGTCATCAGTTTAGTGACAAAATAGAATTCTTCACCTGCTGGTTATAACTGGCCTGATTTATCAGTTCGGAAACTTCTTTGGGAATTTACCACAACCGTAACCACAATAGAGATATGTTGAGTGTAAGAGTTTTAAAGGCAACGCAACTTAATATAATAAATTCGTATTTGAGGATTTTTGGTCAACATGCACAGAATGTTTTTGTCTTCTAATGGACAAATTCGATATCAGTGTTAGTGTCAATCTTTCTAATCCAATTGCCATAAATTATGATAGAGTCACAAATAACTTAACTTATAATAAAACTTGATTATTTTAAGAAAATAAAATTTGACTTGCAATTGTACAGATCAAGCAACTGTAAAAATTTTCCATGTGCAGCAATGGGGGTTATTTTGATTATTTATAGTAATTTACGCTGATTGTGTTTACCTTAAGTAACAACCGAACAGTAATTTCAATTTGAATAGTGCTGATAAATTACATCTACTTTGTGGCTGTATCCAAAGAATCTTTAAATAGTAGCTATGGTTCCGCGAATATTTTTTTTCGTACTTATTCGTTGATCTATTATGGAATAACAGGAAGTCGTGGTTTTCCACACGGATAAGTTTTTAAAAATAAAGAATTAAAAAGTTATAATTTTGAAATCGGATATTAGTTTAAAAATGAAATATTAAAAATTCAATTATTTAGTTCGTTGTTCAGTTTTTGGCGCATCATTCCCTGGTTGTTAAGTGCTTAATCGATACGATTTTGTCTCATACTGTTTAATAATTCTACCAATGTATTATAATATCTAATAGTATCTAATAATTTAAATAAATGCTAAAATACATTTTCGCCGAAAAAGTTTACGACAAACTAAGTCAATAATACTAAGAAGAAGTACAAGAACTAATTCTGGCAAGTGTAGAATCGTTAGAAGAGTTGTTGACTATTTTCCATAACTAAACCTAACTATTGTCCTCCATGACACCCCCTTGGGCTGAGATAATTTTTCTAATTTATATAATAATAAATGGGGCTTGAGATACTTCGAAAAAAAGCAGCGTCATGTTTGAGTCGATTTTGCAATAAAAAAACACGCAAACTTTTTAAAATCAAGACTTTTTCGAGAAAACTGCCAACATTTCTTTATCGTTGGTTCACTTTCTAAAGCGGCCACTTAGTTCTCTCTTGAATGATGTGAAAATTAGCGTTCTTGATAATTTTGCTTCCCTTTTTCTTCCATTTTCATAATTTTGCATCCCTATTTTACCTTCCTCTCCTCTTGTGATAAGCAACTAAACATTAATCGTCCATTCCAACTAATGTTGGAAAAATGATCAAGCTAAAAGGAAATATATCAAAAAATACTGGCAAGCATTTAAGGTTGATTGACTAATTAACGTACAATGGCCAATACTCTCTATTCTTAAATGATCGCCGTCTAAATGGGAAGAAACCAATTAACAAAGACTGGAAATTCATCCGGAGGATATAGGAGCTGAATCATTTTTATTTGGGGATTCTTGTAACTCGTAATGATGCGGAAAGGTTAACTTTTTCCGATGAAATGATTAGGAGCGGTCATTATTAATGGAAGTGTGAACTTAGAAGCAATAGCCAAAACGTGTGGATCTTAAAGTCAATTTAAAAAAAGTGGTGACAGTAAAGGTTAGTGAGTCTTACTATTAATTTAATTGTCCAAATACCATGTTTTATATCCGCGAATTATTTTGGGCAGTATTAAATTACCAAATTTTTTTATGTTATATCGCTTATGATACCACCATCGGCCAATAAATCAGCTGGCAGTAGTGGGCTAATTTTTTATCGCCATATTCTAGCTATGATTTCTTGTTACAGTGACCTTACTTTAGGTTGGGTGGCATTTGCTGTGAAAGTCTCGCCGTCGAAGAAGTGAATGGCAATTAAAACACCGGATTACGCTGGCGTTAGTCGCGCACTCTTGCTATTCAGTTGCTTTTTCATTTTCATGTTCAAATTTTATTCGGAGTTTTAATCATAAAAGTAGTGAAAAGTGTAAAAAGTGCATCATTTTGGATTTACAATTGGATAGAAAGGTAAGCTATTGGCCAGGTGATTGATTATTGACAACCGAAAGTAAAAGTAAAAGTTGTTTTGACGAACTGGATCAGTCTTCGACAACAACTGAATGATTGGATTGGATTAACTAAAACTATAAAGCTCGTAAAAATAAACTTTTATACTGAAGAAAAAAACGGTATCTTAATGTGTGTTAGAAGCGCGTTGTTTATTTGACGATACTATAAAGGCATTCTGGTGCGTATCACGTGCACATACATATTGCATGTTGAGGTAGGAACTGTTGGTTGGTCGTTTAGCTTAAAAATTTCACTTTTCTACATGCAATCCAAATATGCTATGGCTACCAGTTTTGATTTTCAAATAATTGTCGTCTGACCAATCCATTATACCGACAAGGCAAATTTAAATCAGTGAAAGGAACATGTCTTGAATTTTTTTACGTTCTCCTAAGACATATCGTGTTATCAAAAGGAGCGTTAGTTTCACTCATCAATAACCATTGGTGATTCTCAGACAATGTTTCGGACACATTAAACAGAACCTTATTTGGACTATTAAGAATTACTTTTTTGCGTCGACCCATTTTAAATCTTTTATGTTATGCCTTAGTAGTTGAGCATGTATGTTACTGATTTTATGCAAGAATTTTTGTATTTTCATTCATACACTAAAACATCAATGGGCAATAGAGCACTGTTGGTACGCGAAAAAGTCGATTTGAATTCTGTTGAACATTGGAACCAGTAGCCACTAGTAGAACCTATAAAAGCCTGGTCAACTTTTATAAACACTTAGAAAAACCTGATAATTAGGTCTTGCAAATGAAGAAGYCTTTATTCATAACGATCTTCTTCTAATCTACACATTTAGAATGTTCCAMAAAGTTATATTCTGTTGAACATTGGAACCAGTAGCCACTAGTAGAACCTATAAAAGCCTGGTCAACTTTTATAAACACTTAGAAAAACCTGATAATTAGGTCTTGCAAATGAAGAAGCCTCTATTCATAACGATCTTCTTCTAATCTACACATTTAGAATGTTCTGCCGGCCTTAGACATGTCTCGTGGTGAAATATGGTCTACTAACAATATTTAACTGACATTTTAAGTATCTTCCATGAATTATCATTAATTTCATCTCAAAATATGGCCATAATTTTTTGCTATAAATTAATCTAAATTTATTTTTATTATCTAAATCTAATATTAATTAGAAAAGTAATTGTTCACTGATTTGATCGCCAAACCTACTTAAATGCTGTTCCTAAACTCAAAATTAATGCGTTTCTCCAAAAAACCTTTGTTTCAGTTTGAAACGTAATAAAATGCTGACACTGGTTACATTTATGTTCAATAATTTTATTAATAAATGTATATTCCATTATTGTAATAAATATATAGTAATTACACTTGATTATTTAGAATGTCATTATTCGCATTAAGTGGGGTCACTACATTTCAAAATATCTTTAAAGATCACTTAAATCTCACTTTAAAGTTACTTAATTACTATTATCGACCCTATGATATATGCATTACAAAATAATTAGTATGTTTGTGTTGAACCAATTAGGTGAAAAGGTCAAGATGGAAATACAAAGGAGTTATTTGTCTTATTATTCTTTTAATGATGTTTTAGTAGCAAAATTTTAACTATCCAAGTCACGGTTTTTAGATGAAGCAATTAATTGGTAATATCTTCGCATATTAGCAACACAAACTACTAACAGAAAACGAACATTGTATGAATATAATGCTTCTTGCATTAATTAGTTCCCGATTTGAGTATGCTGTTGGTGGTAAGGAGATGTAGGAATAATTAGTGTGTTTTTAGCTTGTCAGATGGTTAATGAAAAACGGAAACAAACGATTTTAAATATTAGGTAACAGTGCCATTTTGACAGAAGTATTTACAAAATTTAAGAGTTCAAATGATGTTGATGATTGAATAATTTTTCAGTAAAATTAAATGCATAACTATGTCAACCTGCCAGCAGATTTTCTCGTGTTTTTGTTTTGTGTGCTTGAAAATTTTCCCAAAATCGTTGCTTGGAAGATGCATTTTTCAAAATTCAGCGTCTTTAAGTGCATGTTTTCGTTTACTATATTTTCTAGGCAATATTTGGAAACACAACAGCAGATTAGAAATTGAACTAGAATGGATTGGGGAATTAGTGAATGATAATTTACAATTAGGCGCTAGACGGCGGTATTAGGAAACGTCCAAAGGTATTAAATATGTAATATTATATTATAATTCCGTATGCATTCCATGAAAGCTCATTAAAGTCGTCACGTAAGCAAACCGAATCTAACTTGTATAAATTTATTAGACAAGCTTGGAAAATTGAGAATTTTTGAACTGAAAATGACAACTTATATTTAGTTATATAAACTCAATCAATGTTGTTGTTGTTGTTGTTGAATTTTAAGAACAAATTATAAAATAATCTGGCGTTTAGGATTTGGATCAACTTGACCACAGAACCATCTTTGTTTGATGGCGATGTTATCAGCCCGACTAGACACGAACAACTTACATGCATCAGTTAAATCTGCATTGTGATAAAAATGCATATCAAAATAAAAATTTGACTACTTTTAAAATTTTTCGTTTTTTCTTCATTTTTAATTCAAGTTCACCTTTGACCTTTTTATCGTCATGTATTTGTATGTATAAGTTTAAATATGCTGCGAATTTAAACATAAAATCTCTCGTTGTAAAATATATTATTATTCCAATTTTTTCAAATTTTACTTCTCTAAATTAACCTTTCCTTTTGCTGAAAGAAGATATTATTACCATAAAAATTAAATACCGGTATTAGCACAGCTTAATGGGTTGCTCAGTTAATTATATCAGCGTGCAGATGGAGTAAGACCCAGAAGATGATTTCACACGGATTTACTTACATTTCAATCTGTTTTATAATATTGCACTTAAATTGGTATTGTTACAGTTGACGAAATACTTAATAATTTAGTTACTTTAGATAAATAGGTCACTAAACCCTCTAGTGGAACATCATTGCATCAATTTTATAGCTTTCTAATACGTCTTTAAAACGCAAATTATTCCATGTGCTATTTGAACCAAATAATAGGCAAATCCAAATAATTTTTCTGCTTCGAGTCCAAGTGCGCACATCTAGTGGCCTAATACTATCTACGTCTTGTTTTATTAAACCCTTTGCATGAAATTTATTTTTAAGTAAAAACATATTAGAATACAAGCTTTGCTGCATATACACCTAAATAATGTAGAAAGTATTTATATGCAAATATTATTTTCATCTGCATCTACTTTAAAAACAGATAAAAATAGCAGTGTATTAGTTATGGGATAACGCGAAGTCTACAGAACATACTGGAGTACGTTGCAAAAAATTTGGATCATTCGTTCCTTTTCGCATGATTTCTGACGAACGCAGTTCAGACTAGAACGCATCCAAAGGACAACCGGCCTGGCGGAATGGCTCCAGTTTACTTGGCCAAAACTATCATAAATTATCATTCATTCTAAGTGGAGACTTCAACGTTGAATTTTTTCTGATAAAGCGTAAAATTTAATGCAATTTATTGAATCAAAGTTACAATTAAAAACGCACACCTTTGTTATTTATTGTCGACAATAACAGTCGCATGCGATAAGACGCTTGCCCAAACCAAAAAACAAGAAGCACAGATTCAATTTTTTCCAGATGAACTGTTCTTCAGGTCTGCTGGTTAAACTTGCAACACCATTAAACCATTCAGTCGTCAAACTTCTTAAATTTGAATATTATTTTGCTTTTCGTCTGGTGTCCATTATGTAGTTATCTCCCCATTTAACATTGATAAGCCATATTGCATTATATCAAATAATTCGACCTAGATGGCCCCGGTCTTTGCAACAGACAAGTTGTTTTATCTCTTCCTGTGTATCTCAACTAATTTCAATGTTGTTAGTTACATGATCCGCCATATACATGACTACTACATATTCAACACCAATACTATGGCGACTTTCACTCTTACGCCGTGTTTTTAATAATCATTACAGAGTTAATTCAAATTTATGTAACCCACCAACCGGTTTACGCAGATTTTGAACATTTCAATTTCAATTTGCTTAAAAAGGGGACACATATATTTCAGATTAGAGTGAAATAAGTAGATACGTGTTGTGAAAACATTGAAAGGTCTCAGCATTGTGACTGTGAAGGTGAATTGGTTAATTAAAAGGATTTTGTTTATTCATATGATAATTTACCAATTCGGATACTTTACGACATGCAACGTAATAAAAAAACCATTTTATTTCACACAAATTAAGTTTTAGCAATTTATTCATTGCGCCAATATTTACCGTCTGCGAAATATTTACTGTTTAAAAGTTTGGTACTAATTGCTTCAATTGGAGATGCAGATACTCTATGAGATTTACCGGAAGAAGTTGTCTTAGCTGAAAATTAAATGTAATTCCTTTTGCAATATCTGTTCAAGGTGGAACTGCGTGGATGCTACTAAGGCTCGATTTCCCATTAATCTGAAAACATTATTTTGTTGCAATCATCACAGCAATTTCACGGTTTTGTGGTTCTTCATTTAACTGTAACAAAAAATGCTTCGCATTTTCCGCAATAAAATTTGTATTCTAAAATTTCGAACTTATCTTCGTTCTTCCGCTAACATTACAAAATTGATGATGACTCTTTGAGATGTGATATCAATACAGTACAATCTGAAATCTGGAAAAAAAGTAGCATAGATTGCGCAGTCCATTCACACACACAGCAGCAAGATTGAATCAATTAGCCAACGCTTATATTCACATTGTACAATGTATACAGTATGTGAAATATTGTGTGGAGTAATTGTAAATCTTTTGTAGTCATTGTAAGACCATGATTAGACTGCTTAAAATCGCTAATGCTGGCTAGATGATGAGCAGTTTCAATTTGACGGTCTCCCATTTACATCTCGTTTAGTGCATTTTGTAATGTACCATTTTAAATTTGATCAGAAAATTGTGCAAAACACCTATACTACCTTTTTGATAGCACTAATAATTACGGAATTAAAAGTGTCCGAAATGGGACACCATGTACCATTCAAGAACATAATCTGAATAATATGAAGTCATGATCTTTTAACGTTGCCATTTGGTTAACATTCTCTTTTGCTAATATTTTCGAGACCAACGTGCAAATGTCAAATATGCTTTTCAGGGTGTTCAACACCTGTTCAAATTCAAAGTGCATAACTCCGATTGGCGTAGTTTTTGGGAAACGATATTTCCTTGTGTTCTGCAGTTCCTCGGATAAGGAAAATTTGTAGTTATGATGATGTGATTGAGTAAGAAATGTTTAATCACAACTCACATCAACCTTTTAAATTACTTTTGAACGTTACTATCCTACTCCGGAAAATGTGTGACACATTTATTGTATAACTRCACTAGCTACCAAAGAGATCAACATAAATTACTCAACGAAATACGCACTATATTTTGATCCAAATATTTTTTACTTTCAGCTCTTATCAAATTATGGTGTCGCGGAAGAAGATTTTATCGAAATCTCGAGATGACATCAATCTACTATCCAACCCACAACCTGAAGACTCCGAAGATGTGTGGTACCAAAAAGAAAAACTGTTTAAGGTAAATATTTGGAGGGTATTCGTCCAAGAAAAAGCAGTTAATGGTTATCGGGTGTCTACCAACCATTAAAAATGGACGTATTAATAGTGCAGGAAAATACCGAATATAGAAACAAAGAACGGTGTTTCCTTATTTATATTTTAACAATTCAATAAATCTAAGCCGGCCTAGGTATGTGAAACTGGAAAAAATTGTAATTAATTCTTAAAAGCCATGTTCCAATTACCCTGTGTGAATAAAGCGAAACTTTCGCATAGATGAGTAGTGAAATCTACAAGCTTCTAAGAGGTTTTATTTCGTAATGCAGGAATTTTTATGTGATTTCAATGTGACATTTTCATCAATTGCAAAGACTTAAATGTGGCATTATTTGAATAGTCGCAATTGAATATTTTAATATATTTTATGATGAAACAACCGTAACGATCGGGCAAAATCCTGCAACGCGTTTCTTGATAATCGTTTGACATTAAGCGAAATTAAATGCAAATTTACGGAAGTGATGTACAGGGTGATTTTTAAAGCAGCCCATATCCTTACACAATTTCGCGATTACTTGCATTTGTATTTAAAGTTTTTTCAGCAATTGCAAATTGAAGAGATTAAATAATTTATCTCGATATTAGTGCTTTCATTCTTGAAAAAGCAAACTTTTCGAAATACAATTTTCATTTTGACTTAATTAACTGATTTTAAAAGTGCAAGTGATAAAGAAGCTGCTCCAAAATGCTGATGGAAGATACATTATGTTGCTTTTCAAGGCGCTCTTCCACTTAGGCGGTTCCTGGACCAGGCAAAAATCTGGCAAATACCAATTAAACTTTTTATATAGGCAATCATATTTACGGTCAAACAATTGGTAAATTTAAATAATCAAACCCTTAAAGTATAAAACTTTCTCGGCGAAATGTATCTTCAGTAGAAAAGCCAAGTAAATTATTATTTATAAACTTACAGATTTTGTTTAATTTGACGTTCAGAAGAATTGGTTTCGATATTGTGGATGGTTTCACCCTATATACGGGTATCGTAAATGTTAAAACGATATCGAAAGAGTTACTCAACTTCACGTACCCAGCACCGTTCCTCTTTTGACTTGCAAAATTATTCGCAAGGTCGCATTAATAATGTGTAACAGCAAAACATTAAGCGCTTAGGCAATGGAATTTTTTATTAATTGTTATTGCCTTGTATTATTTACATTCAAATTGGGGTTTAAGATATTAACATTTAATATAAACTAGACATTTTATGCCAAATCTTTAAGTTCAACCCGATTAAGCTTATGTATAAATTCAGAATGTTTGCGGTCAGTCCGACCGCAAATCTTGTTGTGTGATAAATTGTGGTATAACTTACCTACGTTTACTTCAGACATCGGTAAATCACGCGATTAGATTCCGGTGAGCAAAAACTTACCGACTAGTGAAGAGTAGATAATTAATTGTTATTAAAAGTACACTTTTTTTCTTTTGGTGCCTTATTCTCTGCGAATATTGGCGATTAAAATGGATTTATACAGTCCCGCATCTGTACCTTTTTCTAATTCAAATTAATGGCTGTATTTTGCTATTCAGCCTGAAAGGTAAAATGTCACAGGCTGCAGATCTCAAACAATTATTTAAATCAATAAAAAGTTGATAGTATGTGGAATACAACGGTAATACTAGGAAATAAATACAATAAAGTGATAATGTAACAAAGGAAATCCTGCACGTGGTAGCAATATAAATAACTTTTTATTTGCGGAAACAAAATTTTTACAATCAAACTTATATCATCTTATTAAATTGTTCAAAATGTTGTCCAGTTTGCTGAACCTACACAATAATAAAGTCTGTTTCCAAACTCCGCCCTAACTTTTCGGAAGACTTTACAGGAAATTGACGGGCATTCTGCTGCAATTCGCCTTTTAAGATCATCAATATCATCAACAGGTTGTATTTTATAAGCAATGGACTTAAGCTGTCCCCAAAGAAAGAAGTCTAAGGGTGTTCAATCCGGTGATCTTGACGGTTATTCAATTGGTCCCCTTCTGCCAATCGATCTATCCGGGAATATCTTATCAATGTTGGGGAGGGTTCGAAAATAGACTTTATCATTGTTTACAGGAAAATAGACAACAGTTTTAACAACTTCCCGATAAATCCGAATTCGATTCCGATAAATCCGAAATCAACTGTTTAAACTAGATTCTCTTCCTAATATATTAGATATTTAAATATCAGAACAATATATTGTTACCTAGGGTTATGAAATTATTTCATCAACAGTATCTTATTGCAGGATCACATTCAAGAGGTGCTAAATAAATGGAATCAAATTGATGATGAAATTTGGGCTAAAGTTGTAGTCTTGGAGCGAAACCGACGAGTAGCGAAAGCTTATGCCAGAGCACCAGTTTTGACTGTTAATGGTTCAGATTCCGGATTTGACGGATTTAGGTAATTTGATTTTAAAAACACAAACTGTTCAGTGTTTGAATTATATGGGCTGTAGCGTCTCCAAAACTTAATATTGTCTTTTCTGAAAACGGGCTTGGTACCATTATGGCAAAAGATGGCACAACGAAGTTTCAGTAGTAAAAATGGCATTGATGAAGTGCCCAATAAATGGTGAAAATTAGGGAACTTCTTTGAAAATAAAGCAGTTTTGTTGCAGTTTTTAGATTTAGATGTTCATGTTTTCAAAGCTGATTTGATCAAAGCTCAATATATAATATTGGTAACTATATAAAATGCTAACTAAGTCTTATTTGTTGTATTTCCAGAATTGGATTATCAGGCTTTGAGAATCCTTTAAGAGACAAAAAAACTGAAGAATGCAGGAGACATATAGGTCATGTAAGTTTATTGTTATTTAAGTTACAATTACAATTTCGCGTCCGACTATTTAATGTTTTTAGTCAGGATTTTATTAAACATCACTGAAAAACATTTATCGACTTGATACTGCTTCGGCTAACTACAGCACTCCTACAATTAAAAATGCAGTTTTAAGCGCGACTACCGCATTCTTCATCTAACATTATGGCATTCTAACATCATGGCTATTCCCACGTATTTTGCTAAAATGTCAACTACCAATAAACATTCCATATTCCAGGATCCGCTGCGAATACTAATACTTTCTGAACGAAAGTGAATCTTCATCTTTACGTATTTTTTAGGATTTCAATTAGTTATGATTTAGTGTTTAATGAAGCTGATTTAATTCAAATGAAAGTTTCGTGGTGTTTGGTATTGCATCATTGTTTCCAACAATTGTGGTATGCAAAAAGTGTTTTGGAGTTTTGCATTTAATGCTTAATATGTTTGAAAAAGTTTTTTCACTAGTTCCTCAAACATAAATGCCTAAACAAGAACATGGTTTTGATCGTGCCGCTAAATTTTTACCAAAAACTTTAACAGACTGGCGATAAATGTGTGCTTGGTAATTTTCTTAAAAATTGTACTATTTGTGAACGAAACGACAAATATGCTCAAGATTTCTAGCGCCCTGCTTATATCATTTAACAATTTTCACTTGGTTGGAAACATGTAAATGTTTGTTTCTGTTCCACAGAAATCAGCAGGGAATTTCTATTTTAAAGCGGTCGCTAAGGAATACAGTGGTGATTTTATTTTTTAAATAAATGGAACTTACTCGACTTTTCGAATTTCTCGCTTACACATGGCATCTAATCTAATTTTCCATAGTAGCATTTTTTTAGATCAAACAACAAATGCGTGGCATTAGCACAGCAATTAGCACATAAAATACCAAAGGTTGCCTAATTGTAGAAACAATATCATGAAATGTGTGAAGTTTCGCACTTTTCTTGCTTGGTTTGTATCATTCACGAGCATGTTTCCTGCTAGGTTTTCCTTAATGTGTTTTGAATGGGTTATTTATGTGGTTTTTCCAACATTTCGGGAGTCAATGAAACTGATGCAAACCAGTTAGTTGCTCATGGTGATATTTTGTCAGAAGTGATGGTTTTTCTTAGGTGGGTTGTAGTTGGGCGTCAATTGCATAATCTGCGGGAAAAACACCAGACCCACGTTCTCACATACATACATTCTCAATGGATACCTATCTTTGATAGCAAGGAGTTATTGATGTTTTGTAAAAGGAGATGCGGATGTGTACGATTATCATAAAAGTATTTCATTTGTTCAATTGCATAAAAAATATCTAAGTATTTTCTATCGAGTCTGATAGATGATTTCAGCCGGTTTACCAGCTTTTGATGAACTGTTTAAAAAAAATCGCGCACAAGGTTCTTTAGATGGTCTTTCAAGCGCAAAAATTGCCCATGTTTTGCGATTTAGATAGTTAAAACTGCATAATTAAACAATATTTCTTTAAAGGGCGTAAAAATCAAAATGGACGAAGACGGCAATATTCTTATAAAGCGACTGTCTCGAGCCAACGTTTTCATCAGGCGTACCACCCTGGATGAAGAAAGTGCCATATCAAACGAAGTTCTGAAACTTTCCCATGGAGCATTAGAAGCCAACAAAGCTTTCACTCTGTTTGACATGAATAAATTTCAAGTAAATTATCATATACGGTTAATTGCTAGATAATTAATGTTTACCCTTATTTAGATAAATGTAACAAATGAGCTGAAACGGTCATACCCGAATAGAAGGCGATTAGAGAATCAATGTCTTAGTGCCATCTGTTTTGTTAAAAACGATTCAGACCTTCTAAAGTCTCCTATATGGATGCTAATTATTAATATGGTAGCTATTGATATGTTAAAGTCGCAAATACCTCTAGGTAAATACGTGTAATTAAATTTTAAATGGATTAATAACGAAGATACTTTCAGAAACCGCAAATAGTCCTCAAAGCTTACCAGTAACTCTTCCTTTAGAAGAAGAGAATTATTCAGTGTGTGCCAACGCAAAAAACGGAAAACTTTCAACGGATAATCACGTCAACGGGAGCAGTAATTCTAGTAGTAACGAGGGAAGTTATAGCAGTGGAACCCATAGAGACAGCGGCAAACGAGAATTGAACAATCCTCCAGAGTTGCCCCCAAGGAAGAAGTTAGAGCCTTGCAATATTCCCCAGGTAAGGTGCTCATAATGTTAATCTCAAAACCAGTATATAAAAATGACGAATTTCAGCCGGATTACCAGCAATATCAACAGCAACCACCGGCGAGCTCAATTAGAAGAATTCCTTCAAAAAAACACAAAAATAAAGTAAAAAAACTTAAAAAGCAACCGGGTAAGTCCATTGATTAGCGATAAATCAGATTTTTGGAAATCTATTTTGTTACCAATCTTTTAGACGATCCGTACTACTGTGGAATGAAGGCTCGAATTCCGAACTTTGTTGCGAAGCTGACAAGAAAAAAGTTTCACCAACCCAATTGCAAACAGTACCAACAACAGGTGCAACAGCAGCAGCAAATAATTCACAACCAGCCGATTTATGGGTACCACCAGCCACATTACCAGCCAACTCCCATGGAACAACACGTTAGGAGAGTGTCCCAAGTAAAGCATCCAAATGTGGTTCCCAGTGCTCTATGGAGTGCAAGGAGTTTGGACAGTGGGCTAGGTGAGAGCTTTTGGATGTATTTTATTTTTGTGCATACATATATACTGTTTTTACAGTTAAAAATTAAAATTTGATAGCTATTTTTGTGCATGGCCTTACTGCCTTAGAAGAAACGTATTTTCAGGTTTTGTAACATCAGCAAGTCCAAGTTCGTCATACTGTTACATGTAGAGAGCGCCCCATAATGTCGTTTTTCCTTTTTCTAAACCTTAATTTTTTTGTGAATGCTTGAATCACATTTTTGGGATTGGCCCACAAAGCCTTACTATCCAGTACGGGAACCCAAACTGAATGAGCCGCTTTTGCTTATTACAATTTAAACAATATTACCAACTATGAAACTTTACCTTGTACATGCATCATTAAATAAGATTTTTAAAAGCACGACTATTATCTCTCAAGCAATAAAAGAGGCCTATGTATAAATTAATTCCTCATTTTTGTAAAAGTTTCGGCCGTAATGTGCTTTCATTTTATGCCCATAAATATAACCCGGTATAATTTTTTACAGGGTTATTCACGCTATACGGCACGGACGTTTGCGGCTAGCCCGTTTGTTTTTTGCAAAGTATTATTTGATGAATCCACAGACGCCTATCGGGTGCACATTTTAAAAATATTTTTGTAATGTACAGAGTGTCCCAAAAGTCCTAAAAGTATCAAAGTTGTGTTTTTCTAAATGAAATACCCTATATATTATTGCATTTTTGGATTCTCTGAGCAAA